TGACTAACTTAATTATGACCCAGTCGACCCCTGTCGAAACGATACCATACATTACATCTTCGCGTAAAGCCTCATTGTATGTGCGTTTCTTTTTATTACGTTGAGACGAAGCCTGTAACTGAATTGCATTCTGGCCAACACCCTGGTTAATATCCTCCCTTTTAGCCTCGGTAACGACAATAATCGTACCTCCAATCTTGATAACCCAATCCACTGACCCTTTACCATGACTTCCAGATAACTCGTATTCTGGACATACTTTCACTTCACCATCATAACAAGAGGCAACGCCATGAAGAACGGAAGAAATAAATTCGCGTCTTGTTGCTTCGTTTGCACTAGTGACGTGAATGCAGGTCTTATGCTTCATAGATATATCTTCCAAAACGTGCTCTAACATCTTTTCGTAATTGGCTGTGTCAGCTAACTCTCCATCGAACCTGGGGAGATCAATATAACTATCGGCTGTTAACCCGAATAACGTCTAGATTTGAGGAAATGTCCACGACGAAAATGGCTGAAACATCCAAATTAATTTTTGTTAGCGTTATGTCACACCTATAGTAATTTATTCTCAAAAGATAGCAGAACAATACTCACATGTGTCCACGACGATTGGAAGATCCACCTTGAATCCTTAAGTCCAGATTACACCCGCCAAATCCTCATCATCAACCAAACAAATAATTTCCTTTTAATTACCACCATACTCACGATTTATAACAATATGTTCGTCCTCTGTCCCATCCGGAAATGTGAAACATGTGCGAGGCCGAGACTTCAAAGCAGATAAAGCTATTTGTCCGCGGGTTACGGTCCACTGAAACTTTTTTGACTTACGATCATACGTTGCGGTGCAGTGAACTTCTTTCGTCTCAACAGGACGCTGTACGATTATATGTATGTGCTCGTCGGCTGGCTGAGAGGGAAAGTGTTTGCTAATCTTCGAAAGAGGTGCTTTCTTCTCCTTGATAGCGTCTTGAGTTCACTAACCGCCTCTGTTTTTATTAACTTTTACGTTGAAAGCATTTTCATAAGAGTTTTCGCCTACGACCAAACAGCTAAGAGTGATAATAGACATGGCGCTTTTATAGTGATATTTGGCTCGGACCTGTTTCGGGAAAGAAAATACTTGGGCGTAAATATAGGTTTTTATGTCGCACAGGCATTGCATCATTTCAGGTGACCCGCTTCTCATGTCAATACTTTATTTATGAAATAAAAAACGTTGCTGATAGCCGGCCTACAAATCGCTACATGATATAAGAAAATTATTCTGAGCCTAAGAGGGGCTGAGCGACGACATGGTAATAGTCTGCTCGGGGTTGTCTAACTAAGACCCTTAGCTTTCTTATGAACTGAACTAGGGCTCAATTAATAATCAATTATATTTATAATTTTAGATGTAATTTAGAGTGAGTTTAGAGACTATCCGTAAAACATATTTCACACCAATCCATACTTGATGCAGGATATGAACCTATTTCTCTACAATGACACTTTCTACATGTTCCCCTATATTTTCTTTCGGAACTTCCTTTTTTAGGGTCGACTTGATTACTGCTATCTTCTTTTTTTTGTGATTTTGAAATTTGCTTATTTGATTCTTTAATTTCATTTTCCTTGTTTGAGTTATTGACTTCTAATTCCCTAATTCTCTTTGCTTGTTCTGATATTTTTTTTTCTAATTCTTCAATTCTTTCACCATAGTTTAACTCAGATTGCGTTTCTTTTTCGTTAGTTAAAGACACAATATAATCTTTTTGCAATACCTTTTCCAAGTCCGCCTTGGTCTTGTACGAGGAGAACGACCTTAGATTTTTCTCCTTACATTCCTTGGCAAAGTCTGCAAGATCTGACGCAGGTCCCAAACCTAAACCAGTACTTCGAAGCTTTTCTTCGGTTACCTTGAGAAATGCACGACCACTAAGCTTTTCCTTGCGAATAATTTCTTCATCGTCCTCATCGAGTTTCAAGTCTCCCTCCTTACGCAAGAAATTTATTAGTTCCTTAGTATCGTATTTTTTAATTTTGTCAGCCAGCGAAACCATCTCATTTCCAGCAATAGTAGTTGAGGTGGAAGTTGAAGTATAAGGTATACTCGTAGCTTCAGACATAGTGTTTTTATATGGTTATTAGGCTGGACAAAAATAGTTTAGATAAAAATTTATTTCTGTTCGAAAAAGAAAATACTGGTATCGAGGAACATGTTTAATAATAAAGCGGTAAATAATGATTATCTATGTTGTACTAACTTCTAAGCTGATCCCTGATTCGCAGATTTGATTTACATAACATCGATCCGTTATAACGTAATGTGATTTACTGTACATAATAATTTCCTGCTTCCCTTTTAGACCAGGAAAAGAAACAATCTCACAAATGACATCCGCACCAACAGAACATACATGGATAGAAAACCAATTAAAAATGAGAGTAAGGCAATTAAAGAAATAGTTACAAAGGAAGCATTGAACCTCTCTCAAATGTAAAAGAATAATATTGAAGATTAACTACTGAATGATAACAAAACAAAAATTCTATCATGACAACAAATAAGAATGAAACTGGAAAAACAATGCAAAACTCCTGAATAATATAAGGATTTAAAAGAATTAATAATTCAAACATGATTGAGATTAACAGTTGATAGAAAAAAACCATTTACTATAAAAGATCATGACAATAGCAACCCTTCCACCAACAAATTTTATTTAATTACTTCTGTTCTTTCAACTCAACACTAATCAATTATCAAATAGTCAGCAACAAAGAAAAATGTAGAAACAATAATAATAAAGAAAAGGAAATAATCAGACAAACAAAGAGTAGTAATAATTCACATGATTAGAAACAAAGAGATCTTACCAATTTTCAAGTGCAAAGGCTACCTATTTAACAACCAAGAACTTAGGAAGAACTACAAAGATCAATAACAATGCATAATGGAGCAGCTCTTGTATACTTAGTAAACATTAAAGACAAAAAAAGCACTATTGTGATCTTTGCATAACAACAAAAAACAAATACTAGGCATCTCTCAATTAACGGACTACAATCATCTTCCCAAGAAATTGAACTCATGGTAAAGGAAATCAATATGCAGCCTTCAAACACACACATACTTAGCATACATCTGGATCTTTTATTATCTACTAAAGTACTTATAGGAAGAAAAATAAAAACTTCAATCAAAATGATTCAGAAGTTACAATAAATTACAAAAAAATTAGCAATAAAGGATAACATCCAATTTTACACAGATAGCTCTTTCACAAAATGCATAACTAAGAGTAGGATGGAAATTGGTTGAGTGGCCTAGACAAAGTCAGGTCAAAAAAACACAATCTTTCAAACAAAAATTCAAAATATTTCATCTTTTACTAGAGCAGAACTAACAATAATATTCATAATAATTAGCATAGTCAGCCCTAACAAAGCGATTAATATTTTTATGGATAGCCAAGATGCCATTAATACAATAAGCAAAGTACTATACAAGGATCAAATCAAGAACTGGAAATCAAAAAGTCCAGATAGGAGTTGATTAATATAATCTGAGAAATTATCACTATACAGAACATCAAAATCCAATGGACAAAAATAAAAGGTCACTTAGGAAATAAAAAAAATGAACAAGCAGATAAATTAGTAGTCATCACATTTGCAAACAGCTTCAAGAATATTGTAAAGATCCAAGAGCTTCAATTCACAAGTAGCAATACAATACTGAGATAAGATTAATCTTTCATGGACCTATCTTTCAAAACAATAAACAAGACTCTTTTAAATACCAAATAGGTCAGTAAATAGAGGACACTATAATAAAACCAAATATGGATCATAGGACAGAATTCCAAGAAAATAAACTGATAATTGACCATACAAATCCTGATGCCATTCAAGATCATATCCCTTCAGATTAGTCAAGAAGACTATAGGGACAAAACTTTTTAATGAAAGACATTATCCAATAAACATCTTATAATAACTAATATGAATATTCACAAACTATAGATATATAAGTCAGTAACATGCATAATCTGTGAAAAACAAGAAGAAAGAGTCTTATATCCCTTTATCTATAGATCAAATAAAACAAGACTAATCAAGAAGTTAACAATACTCTTGACATAAGAATATATAGCAAGAGCCAATGGCAATAAACAGTCATAGTCTATTCAAAATAGGTAGGAACACTTCCTCAGATCAAATATAAGAAGGGGAAACTGGAAAACAATAAAACCTACAGATATAATCACAGGGATTATTATATATAAGATAATACAGATAGTTGCAAAAATTATAGAAGATGAAAAGGAAGTCAAAATAGCAATAAAGAAGGCTACATCATAACTTTAGCAAGAGAAAAGAAGTATTTGAAAGCTAAAATTTTAAATTAGTTTTAAAATAGGAAAAGACATAAGGCATATCTAAAAAAATAAAGTAAGAACAAATAAGAAATAATTTCAAACTATCTGTTAAAAGAACACCATAAGATGAGAGAAGAAAAACAGATACTAGGAATATTTGTATATAGAATTAATAAATCACAATATAAGAAATATATTACAAAATAGTTTCAGTATTAACTTTCTCTTTCATATAAATATCAATATTAGTAAAGTCATAACATGTTAACATTCACCCTTGAGATAAACTGTAAGATTTATAAAATACTGAGTTATTAGTTTTTTTCCTATTATAAATATATTTTTTGTAATTTAATTTGTATATATAAGAGAATATGAATAATTAAATAAAAACTATATGGCATGACTTTACCAGCTTAAAAAAAGAATTTTTTTTTTA